TATATATACATTTTATGTGCGGCCAGTAATTCCATCATTGTGTACTATTTGTCAGAGATTTGGACATATTTTTCCCTTCTCTAGAGTGTAGGCTGTAGGCTCCTCTGTGGACATTTTGTACACCAGGTGCTTCCAGTGCACAAGTGAACACTCGCCCAGTTTGGACATAAGTGTAAGTCTTGCTCAAGGTGCATGTGAGATGCTGTGAGTCAGGGTTGGGTATTGTTTTAGTTTTATTTATCCCAATTCTAATTACAGTTTTGCTTATGGATTCCATTTCTCATCAATTCTCAGTTGCAGTTCTAATATTTTTTGGAGAGAATAAAAAAGCAAATATTTCAAGACCTAAAATTAGACTGACTTTATTCTTGACATTTAGTATAATCACTCATCTGTCTAACGTGACACAAGTTTGTAAAAATGTGTTATTCTTTTTTTTATATAGGAATGATCATCAAAACAATTATAAACCAAACTGTTCATGGTTGCATCATGGTGGTGGCTCACCATCGTGGTGCCTGTAAGCCATCGCTTCATTGCCCATCTCTAGTGCAGATTTTAACACTGGCCACAGAAGGAAACAAGTAAACACAAGACCTGAAGATAGCAGAGGGTGTTTGTACAGCAAAGAGAAAACACTTCTAGGTGATTTTTACTTGATTTATCTGAATTTGTGCTAAATTTTAGTTAATGTAGCTTTAACTTTAAAAAGTTAAAGCTAAAAACAACATATAATATATGAATCATTACTTTTTAAAAAACAAGTCTATATTTAACCAGTGAAACTAAACCATATACTTTCTTAAATTAATTATTTTTACACTTGGTACATAAGTGACTTTTACATTGTAATACTTGCACTTCAGCTGCTAATACCACAGTTTGAATGCAGAGTTTGTCTGTTAATGCTAGCATGTGATGTTAGAAGTTCCAACCAGTGAAAAGTTTCCTTACACATATTAACTAACGTTGGCTAAATTAATAGGGATGCACCGATACCAGTATCAGATTTGATACCACCCTCTAGTACTTGTACTTATAAAAGTTGTCCGATACTATGTTCTGATTATACTTAACAGCAGCATTACATTAACATGAGCAAGCCATTAGGCAGTGGAGAAGTTTCAGTTGTTCATGGATATTCTAATGATGACAAAAGTGACTATGAGCTCCAATTCTCTGCTTTTCTGTGTCTGTTAGCGCCCCTCCCTCCCTGTCTCACATAGGCACAAGGTCACATTTTACAGACACTAGCGCTTGGTATGTGCAGCAAAATCAATGGTAATGGAGAGAGTAGCCTAATTAACATTTGTTGAACAAGCGGAACACAACGACAGTCTTGCTGAAATTCAAAATCTTAACTCTCCCCACTGTCAAAATTCCTGGTCCCATTCATCCATTAAATCTATACGGTGCTCGTTATGCTGATTGTAGTGAAATGAAACAAATGCTCATTTCATGTAGTTCAGGGCTCCAGACTAACATTTCATACTGGTGGCACTGGTGCCACAAAGTTTCCCAGATGGTGGCACTGGTGCCACAAAGTCTCTCAGATGGTGGCACCAGTGCCAGATTTGGTGTCACCACCTTTGTTTTACAAGGAAATGCAAAAGAATCTGTATTTTTCACAAATATTTTAAATATCCTTACCATCCAATATGCATAGCCTATAGCTATAATGAATGAGAGGGAGATTTATGGTACACAGTAAATGGGAAAATCACTTCTCCACCTCTTTTTATGTCGTCACGTCAGTGCTCTATAGCCAAGCAGTCAGTGTGATGATGATAGGCCATTATATTATCGCGGGGGCGACTGAGGTTGAGTAAATGGTAAATGGACTGTATTTTATATAGCGCTTTCTCACAGTGTGTTGCACTTGCCAAAGTGCTTTACAAGAGATCATACACCATTCACCCATTCACACACAACATTCACACACCGATGACGACAGACTGCCAGGCACCGGGTAGAACAGTCGTCTCCCAACCGGAGGGTTGGAGATTCGAATCTTGGTGCTGGCAGTCCACGTGTTGAAGTGTCCTTGGGCAAGACACTGAACCCCCAAGTTGCCCCCGATGGTTAGAGCCATCGGTTGAGTTGGCGCCGCAG